AAAAATACGGTATGTACTGAGAGAACTATTGATGATTTGGTTATGTATAATGTGTATCTGAGAAACTTCTGTTATTATTCAATCTGCTTCACTACAATAAAAAAGTTCTGTTTGTATTCACAAGTCGAGTGTTCTGACAAACATCATTTATATTGTGTACTGAAGTAATCCACTGGTGGCAGTGAGAAGAAAACGTGACGTGAGCCTTTGTGAGGGAAAAATAAGCAGAGGCCATGAGGGCAAACACCGCAGTGCTTATATACCACCCCATAGTATTTAAAGCACTCTTTGGGTTGTTTACAAGTTAATTATGCAGGCTACATATTGCCCCCACCCCCAGCAAACTGGGTGCTCATTTTACAGACCTCAGAAGGCTGGAAGGCTGGGTGAACTTGGCCCAGCTACTTGGGATTGAACCCTGGGTCGTGAGCACTGTTTTGGCTGCAGTACTGCAGTCTAGCCCCTGCACCAGGAGGCTCTATATGATTTTGTTATATATAGACCTACATTAAGTTAATAGATTTTGTATCTCTCTGTGTGTTTCATTGGAAGGTTTTGTCTTCTGCAGTAGCAGAATCAGATACTGTTCTTCTTTGGGTAGATTCTGAAGGCAGTATGAAACCTGAATGTAGTAGAAGAAGTAGCACCTGGGAAAGGCTTCCTGCACCTATTGCAGGCCCTTTTTACTGAGAGGAGTGGGAGAGAGATGAGAAAAAGAAAGCCTATAACTTCTGTTATGAGCCCAGCAAATAAAATCTGTCACCCAATTGCCTTGTCAGTATTGACACTATGAAAGAGCAGCAGGCAGCAGTACAGGGTGGGTGTGCCTCTGCCAAGGAGATGGCAGAGAAGCCCCTGGTTCAGGATGGGACAGATATGAGTGAACCCCAGGCATGTCCCAGTGATGTCTTCATGCAATCCAGCCAGGGCAGTCAGGGCAAGGGGCCAAAGAAGATGGGAAAGAAACCCAGTGATGTCTTTGTGCAACCTAGCCAGGGCAGTCAAGGCAAGGGGCCAAAGAAGATGGGAAAGAAAGCACTTTTCTCTCAAAGAGTTGATGTGCCAGGGAAGGACAAGGATGGTATCAGCACTGAGACCAACACTGTCAGTGTGGCCAGCAGTAGTGCTGCTGCTTTTGTAGTTGGGAAAGAGATTTAGGAAGAGCACCCGGCATTGCCTTCCGTATCCGTGCCATGCAGCTCCATCATATTCAGGGAAGGGTTCACCTCCAGGCTCCCATTCTTAGCAAATCTCTCCTGTGCAACTCGAAAGGCTGTAATTTTGAATTCTGATTCTGATTTTTGGTGCTAGTGTATATCTCTAAAACAAAACAAAAGAGAAAGGGTAATTGTGTCAGTGCATCCCAGGCTGGACTGCCACCTGAAATTTACTTGCCCCCTTCTCTGGAATCTGTTCCAGGAGAGTTTCCAAACTATACCATCTCAATCGCCCTCTGAGGTTATCTATTTAACATTTATAGCCACTGCCTGATTTTAAATTAATTTTAATTTCAGTTTTTAACTGTGTTTCTTGAATTATAGGATTACTGTTATTTGTTCATATTGTTTGCTGTTGTACACTGCCCAAAGTGACCATGGGTCAGATGGGGGGTTTAGAAGTGTGATAAAATAAAATAAATAAACTGCACTGGGCCATCCCTGGCCCATGGCATCACTAGGAGTGCCAGCAACTTTGGTGGTGGCTAAGGGCCCAAGTATAGATCTGGTTCTCCTCCCAGATAAATTTGGTAAGCCTGCAACAGGCTTTGGAGGGCATACCATTAGATTATTATGTTGAATGCTTTGCACATTTTCCAACAGCTGTGTTTAGACACGTGCACCTCTTGTAATGATTCCATATTAGTAAATAATATGAGGGTCAAAAGGAGCACTGTTTGCCATAGAGAAAGCGAGAAGATAAATGAATGCAGAGAGAGAAACAAACAAACACTTAAAAGAGGTTACTGTTTTTAGACTGGAATTTGTGGGCCACAGAAAACCTTGATCTATCAATTCAAGAAGACAGTATTTCAACAAGAACAGGATGCCAACCTTCAAATAATGTTTTAGTTTACTCTTTTGTTTACAGCTGAGTCTCCTTTATGAGGTAGCTCTATTGCTTTCTCACACAGTTATCCTATGTTTATCTGTTTAAACCTTTTGCAAAAGGGTTTCTGAACAGAATGTTTCACCTCCTTCAATAAGGGTCCAAGATATATGTGAATTAAGAGGGAATCGCACAAGATTGCTTCACACTGCTATATGGGAGCATAATGTTTTTTTTGTTAGGGTCATGATCCAAATGATGCATGCCTCAACATGACTTAAATCTGCGAGATCTGGGGTGGTGATGGTGTTTAATCTGGGTTCTCTTGAGGAGAAAAGTGGGGTACAATATTTTAAATAAAATTATTAATGTGCCATTATTCGTGCTAGAAGTAAAGTAGCCAGAAAAGATTCCATAAATTGTTTTGTCCTCATTTCCTGTGTTTGGAGCTCTTACTGCAACATTTTCTGGTAAATCCTATAATGGGAGGGTGTGTGACCTATACATTACTGGAAGGCCAGCTCTTTGTGCATTTGTTTGCCTTCTCTTTGTTTGTTTTGGGGTGGGGTGGGGTGGGAGGCAGGAAGATCAATTCCTCTCCCCAGCACCATAGTTATGATCCAAGGAGAGAAAAGAAAGAAATGAAACAGAAAGTTAAGGAAAGGGGGAGAAAGGAAGAGAAGCGATCCATGCAATCACTAACATCTCTAGTGCAGGTATACTCATAGAACCATAGAATAATGGAGTTGGAAAGGGCCTATTAAGACCATTGAGTCCAAGCTCTTGCTCAATGCAGGAATACAAATCAAAGGATATCTGACAGATGGCTGTCCAATTTTCTCTTAAAAGCGCTCATCATCTCCCAAGGCAATTGGTTCCATTGTTGTACTGCTCTAACATTTAGGAAATGTTCCCTGATATTTAGGCTAAATCTGGCTTGCTGTAACTTGAGCTCTTTATTATGTGTCCTGCACTCCCAGATGATCAAGAAGAGATCCTACCCCTTCCCTGTATGAGGAGCAGCAGGTGGCGTCTGTCCCTGTTCACCATTCATACCTCACATGGCAAGCTTGTACTCATATTTTATGGGTGGCGTCAGAGGAGAAGAAGGGAGGGTCTTTGTGTGGAATATGATCTCATCAGGGAAGCCAAGCTGGAGAGTCTACAGCAGTAATAGGGGGTCTTGAATGTTCTCTGTAAGCTGTGCATGCATATGCACAGATCTCCATCGGAGCGCACACATAGGGCAAGTCTCCTGCATAGTGGGAGCAAAAATTAGAGGGAATGCTGGGGGTCACAAACCACACTGTGATTCACAATCAACAGTGTGTGTGCAGGGAGGGCAGTGCTCTGCTTGGATTAGTAGTGCAATTTCAATGGCAACATTCAGTAATAAGCTTTGACAAAAGGCAGCACCATGAAAAGGGATACAGGAAGTGGGATGGATCCTTTTGAAATCACTTTCACTCCCGAAAGTTGTTCCACTCTTTATTTGCTCTCTTCTCTCCTCTCCTCTCCTCTCCTCTCCTCTCTGCTTTTCTACTACCTCCTCCTTTTTTCAGGAGCTAACTGGGCACCATTTTTCCCACAAGGAAGATCTGAATAACTAGAACAGAGCAAACAGCTGAGAACATTTGGCTAGAGCTGTAATCTGTGAAGTAGGGAGCATAATGTTTAATCCATCCCGTCTGTCTACAAGATGGTTCTACAATTATTTAGTGGCTGTTTTTAAGAGATTATACACACCACATTTCAAGGCATTGAAGGATAACAAGCAGCCATAGGAAATATTTAAATAGAGCTTATTCATCTGAAAGCAGCTTACTGATGTGCTGTGATGTTTGTGTGGTATTGTTATGGGATGGTGTATCTTTTTGTTACATAAATTAGTCACAGCCCAATGATTTCACATCGATGCAAAGGTTCCTATAACCACAAGAAGCATCTATACCCCTAGAACTGCCCTGTTGGTTTTAGGTGGCTAATGAGATGTCTAGTGCATCTACTGCCTTCAGGGGATGACAAATGGGACAACCTGATCAAAAGTAAGATTCCGGACAGGGGACCTGAATTATGATCTGTGTCTGTACTCCAAGAGTAGACGGGTTTGGCAGCTTCTCAAAATTCGCCAGAGCAAAATGAAGAAAAGAACAACAACAAAATATTATTTCTTAAATGTGCAAGTATCCTTACTAAATGTTGAACAATCTGTATTTTGGAGTGTTAAATGATGCGGGGGGTGGGGGAATGTGACCTATTTAAAAGTCAAATGAAGTTTGCGCTGTATTGCTATCGTAGTTCCTGGTGGCTTCCCGGAATGATGACAGACTGGTGGGGTAGGCATGGATTTTGGAGGCCACTGATGACAAAAACACCATTGGGGGGGGCAGATATGGCCCCAGGGCTACACGTTATTAATTGAATGGTAACCAGACCAAAGAGAGAGGTTACTTAGCATTTGATGATCTTGATTTAAAACTATATTCGCTTTAAACAAATAGCCAAAACATTAATACATAACATCCTAGGACTATGCAAGATACCACATCATAATGCCAAGTCTCCTGGCAAGTACCCTGATACAGATCTGATGTCTTCTATGCCTTCTGATGCAGGATGTAATGTGTAAAGATTTTAAACACAGATATCTTTAGCTGGATAAGACTCTTTGTAACTTCTCGGAAATAGCTTTGTTTTGGCCACAGCTTTGATCTATTTGAGTTACTTATGGGTTTCTGTTTCAAACAGTGCTGTGTTTTGAATAAACCCAAGAATTATGTTAATGAATTTCCACCTTAGACTTTGAAGATAGGCAAAGCAGTCTGCTTCACAAAATCCGTTAATGATCCACCTCAGCAATACAAAGAGAGGGTTAATTTGTGGGAAATGAAAAATAAGTTTTAGACTTTTGCAGTAAAAGAATTGTCTCAACTTTTTTTTAAGAAATAGAGGAAGGATGAGAGAAAATTAGCATACTCTTCTTAATTAAAATTGCATTAAGCTAATATATTTTTGGAACAAGAACTGAATGGCACATATCTAGGACATGTAAAGCTTAAAACTGGAAATGGGTCTTAAACCAAAAGCTTCCTTGAACAGTAAAGCTTTCAACATTCTTATGGTGATCATATCATTATCCGTTAAGCTAAAATGGAGCAAAAGATTTTATATATACAATCCATAGATTGTATATATAAACATATCTGGCTGTAGAGCCAGAGGTTGGGAGTTCAATTCTACACTGTGCTTCCTTGACAAGGGCCAGACTTGATGACCCATAGGGTCCCTTTCAACTCAATGACCCATAGGGTCCTTTTCAACTCAATGACCCATAGGGTCCTTTACAGTTTGGGAATGATGATTAAATCTATGCGAAGGAATTGAGTATTTGGGAAAATATGGAGTACAGAAAATATTGCTTTCACCCGTGTTTAACCTTATGGACTGAGTGAAGCAAGCTACAAGGACAAATGGAAAAGTCAGCAGGTGAAAGAAGTATTCTGCCTTGCCTTCCTATCCGGAACCTCTCAGTGAAGAAGCTAATATTATTATGTCAGGCAAAAACAAAAGAAAAATGAAAAAAATAAAGGAGATAAAAGCATTGTAGGAGCTTAAAGACTAACTGCTATACTGTAATGTGAGCTTTCATGGGCAAATTCATTTCTTCAGACAAGTTCTTTGGATTTTTTTCCATGAAAGTTCAGATTAAAATAGAGCAGTTAGTCTTTAAGGTGCCACTACATTATAGTCTTCATTATTTTATTTTTCTTTTTTCGTTCCCTGACATGCTTGCACAGACTAACAGGGCTGCCTCTCCTGAAAACTAACATTCTTGTGTTATCTTTTATCAGAAATACTTCAAAGTAGACTGGGCTAACACTTTCATGTTCCCTCATTTCTCTCAAGTATGTTGGGTATCAAAAAGGAGTTCCCTTCTGTGGCTCAAGAAATGTAAATGTTCGGACCTGGTAAAAAGACCATAGAGGAAGCTCCCCCAATGTCTGGATAATGGATGAAAGGGATTAACCAAGATCAAAGGTAATTACTGTGTTACTGGCAGTATGCCCTTCAAAATGGCCATTGACCTGTATAAGGTCTGCAGGGATTTTTCTTTGAGACTTAAAGTCCTCTTGAAGGAGGAACCTTCTGCCTCTTCACATGTCATGAGTAGATATTGCCCTTGGTAGGCTACTCTGTTACTGTGAGTATAGAATAGGCTAGCTAGATATTTCTTATTTTCCAGTGTTAACAAGAGCTGAGCAGGGCAGTTGAGGACATGACATTTTTGAGGTTGCTCATTCATAGGGTTGCCCTAGGTCTGAGGTGATTTGATGGCAGATAACATCAAACTTACTTAGGGAATTGTCCTGAGGCTTCACTGTATTTGGCTCCATGCTACATTTTTCAAAATATACTGTATTTTTTGTTATGCATTTGTTAGTTGGCCCATGCCTACAGACTGGAGCAGATCTAAAAATCTTTAGAAGTATATTGGAATGGCTATTAGCAATGAGCAGAACAAGCCAGTCTAGTTCATAATTGGTTTGAGATCCAGTTTGTTCTGCTCCAGTTAAACTGCTTCAGAATGGATGAACAGAACGAATCTTCTGTAGGCTTTAATTCTATTCTTTGGCATGTATTTTTTTAAAATGCATCATTTCATCATATCACATTTTCACTATTGTGCCATTTCAGAACTGAGTAGATTAACAAAAGAAATATGGATTTACAATCTGAAAGCCATGTCAGAAATGCAGGACTAAAAAAATCCAGTGACGAATGAGGCTGAGACAGGTTCTATAAACATTCCCAGTAAATATTAATCCTCCTGATTTTAACAGTTTTTTGAAATAATTGAATTGCTCTCAGCTTCAGCCAGAATTTAAACATGGCCAGGAGAGAATTTCTTAAATATTGCTGTATAAAAATCTACTTCTTTTTAGAACCAGATGCTGGCATTTATTTATTTATTTATTTTCCTTCCCAAACTGGGAAGCAAGATGGTGACTGGGATTATTGTTGCTGTTGTCGTCATCATCATTGCCATCATCATTACCCACTATCACCACCATTTCTTTTCTACAAAAGTGCTATTTCTTTTCTTTCTTTCTTTTTCAGAGCCCAAGAAAATACAAGCAAATAGTGCACAGTGCTTTATTATGTCACGATCTCACACACCTACTCAATAAGGCACCATACATAAATATCATGCCATGATGAATCACTAGGACTTTATTAGCCAACACCAAATTAGCCCCTTCACACTGAAGCATTTCACAGTGCTACTTTATTGGCTGTTACTGTCACCATGTAAACTACCGACTATGGAATGATGTACTAGATTTGGACAGGCTGGCAGATCCGGAGGACTTGTAAAAGAGACATCTGCAGCAGTAAAGCAGATTGGAGGTTTATAAAAGGTCACAGGAGGCTGTCCTGAACTGCTGTAGAGTTTGGGCTACAAAAGAAAAATGAAAGCCAGAGAAACTGACATTGGGAAACTTATGTATTTTTAAATACATGGCTATTTGAATCAACATATTGAAGCTGCGAGTGTGGCAGAACAAGATCAGACTTCCTCAGGGAAGGAAAGGATTCATCCTGGACATCTCATTTTGCCTGGAATTAGACATGGGATATTTGTATTCATATCCCTGGGGATGCAAATGCAAATATCCCGTGTCTACCCAGAATCAACACCAGGATATGCATCCCACAACCATTTACCCAGGATTTGGCAACCATCGAGACCATCTCTCCAGCAGCAGCAGTGGGAGAGACACTTGGAAGGCTGGTGTGAAGCATTTGCTCTGGATTGCCTGCCTTAGGCATTGCTTCAGGGGAGTATGGATGGGAAGTGTTATTTGAGGGCAACTCTGTTCTCAATGGTTTCTAATTCCCCCCCCCTCTCATTTTGAGCTTGCTGGCTAGGAGATGTGAGCCCCTTCAGAAAGAACCTGCTAAAAAAGGCCAAATCAGGGTTATTCGCAACATTTTTGGCAGACGCAATGAGTCGCCCTCAATTACCCCTTCCCCCCCCAGCAGTATAAGCCATCCTAACAGATCACGCAAGTTTGCTCTGGCAGTATTGGGGTTAAATCAATAGCACAAGGAGGACAAACCATGGGAAAAGGAGATGGACAGGTGAACAACCAATGGAGCCTCAGCACAGACATGCCTGGTCCAACCATTGAGACCTGGGGGTGGCCACAGAGTAAGGCCACCTGAGTCCTTGCTTTCCCTCGCTCCTCCTAGAACAGCTGTTTTGCATTTAGGCAGGGTAGAGAAAGAGAGTGCTGAGTCACTTCTAGGATAGCTCTTGCATGTTAGAATTTTCCTAGCCTTTTTAAAAAAGTACATATTAATCAGTTTACACTTCTGCATTACACAGTTAGGATCAGGCTTTGATTGGGTAAATTACAATAGCTCCTTCTCCTCCAGCTACTTTTTTTACATTTCATCTTCTCTCCTTGTTGGTACACCACAAAAGAATACCAGTGCCTATTGCTCTTGTAGTCTGTTGGAAGAAGTTAAGAAGAATCAAGTGTCTGTCAGTTCAAATCAGCCTTTCTGCTCATGTTAGACCTTTGCTGGATTTTTATAACCACTGGGAACACATCTTTTGTTAACTTGCCTAGATGTATTTCTGGAAGTGTATGCACTGGGAAAATCACCTTCACCTCAAGACCATCACTGGGTTTTCCACCAAGCACATTTGTTGCTACAGCAGTTAAAAAGGTCTTGTGGATTATTCTTTTCCTGATGCAAAATGGTACTTTGGAGATGGCTCTCCCCTAAACCTGAAGACTAGGAAAGGGCCGAGCCTGGAAAGTTGCCCTTCAAAAGCAATGTCATTACAGGGCTACATTACAGTGCTGAAATCCTGTTGCTTAGTGTAGTGTCTCATTAGAGCTGGGGGATTTGATGTGACTCACAACTCTGGCTGTGTAATAAATTGCAACTAGAGTAGGATCATTTAGATCAATTGAACTTATGGAATAGTTGGGTCACCAAATCACTGTTGATTCAATGGATCTACTCAACAGAACTTTAGCTTTGTTTTAGGCATCTGGCTGTGGAGTTAGAGGTTGAGAGTTTGATTTTGCACTGCGCCTCCTTGACAGGGCTGGACTCGATGATCCATAGGGTTCCTTCCAGCTCTGCAGTACTCTGCTGCTGCTGCTGATTCTTTTAGGGAAAGATTACTGAGGATAGATAATAGAACGACATAAAAATTGAGAAATGTTGAGAAACAGGATCTTGGTGATAACAATACACACAATATCAAAGCAAACTATATCTTAATTTTTAAAATCATGTAGCCCTAGTTGAGTTCTCTTACTTGGAAAAAGAAAAACAGCTATGGGCCCCTTGATCTGTGTCATGACTGGGATGGGAGTAGAGAGACAACTAACACTTGTGCCTTTTCTTTTCTCAAAAAACCTATTCACCTTCCCATCCTACAAAGTGCTTTTGGAGCAAATCACATCTCCTTTTTATAAAGTACATTAACAGTTAAGGTGCTTACAGGTAGCTGTTTATCTTTGTAGCACCATATACCCATAAAACTATGTGCAGCATGGTTGGCTGTCATTTTGGTACATATATATAAAAATGTATTTCACTTTTGAAATGTACGCCTGAGTCTTGTTCTGGAACCTGCTCATCACGTTTCCTTAGCACTGCAGTCCAATGAGTCTTTCAACAGCAAGTACTATTAGCGAATGTAAGTGTACATGACAGAATCGGGCCCACAGCACTTAGCCAGAAGAAGAGACTTGCAGCAGTTTGCACTTCGGCTTTCACCTTGTACTTAGCCACTCTTTAATAACTGTTCTGACACTGTCTCCCGGGAGATGCTGCAGTTGAGCAACCAATTGTGGCCCATAAAAACATTCTAGTACAGGTTATAAAAAGACTCAGGAGATTCATGTTCAAAAAGGCTAAGCAGAATAGACAGTATAAGCCTCCATGTCTCAGAAAAATATAACTGTATTTTCCAATGTTACTCTCTGTAATAACTCGCACATGTTTGTCTCTCTTCGCACATTCCACTGCTACTTAGAGAATTAGCAAATGTGCATGTTTCTTGGCAAATCTTCCCAAATCCAGTGGTTTTAACAATGGCAGCTGGGTTATTTTAAAGCCAAGGATGAGGGCTGGACACCTTAAGGTGCGTGCAGGACACAAATCAGCTTTTTTCAAGGAATAGCATGTTATCCAAGCCAGATCCAGTTCTGAATTTGACAAGACCTTCTTAATGTATGAAGGTAAGAAATGAGCAGGGAGTCAAAGCTGCACATGCTGGCCTTTCCTCATATCTCCTTGAGCCTAATCCATTCCCTTAGTCATTGAGCAAGGGGATGTGTAGTGCCTTAAAAAAAGAGCTATTCACTCTGTCATCCCAAAAAGTGCTTTTGCAGCAAACAGCAACTCTTATTTAATGAAACATATCATATTAAGTTTACCTCAACAACAGTATAACTTTCTACATAATTAGGAATGCCAATAGAAAGAGTCCCCACTGTCATGCAGAGCATTCTACTGCTTTCCAGTGACAAATAAACCAGGCCTCCAGACGTGTCTACTGGAAGAAGGGCAGGGACATGACTGAAGGAAATGCCAAAATATTTGACAGATGGTGCTGAGTACCATGAACTTTGACTTGGGGGAGTGCCACTCGCTGCTCCACCTCCGTCTTGGGACATAGTTGGTAGACACTGAGGGATCAGCTGTTTTGAACAACCTTCTTTATAGGCTGAAATCAAGTTATTTAGAACAGTAAGTTATGTTCTATAAGTTCTATTGATTCTAATGAGCTTACTCTAGTCACAACTTATTCAAGGAAGTTCCTTTGATGCTAATAGGCCTACTAGAATAAGTCGAAAATAGACTAGGCATGCTAGAATAAATGGAATTTACAGAGGAGTTGACTCACCACTGATTCAATGGACCTACTCTAGTGTGACCGATTGCACTATGCAATAGGATTTCAACCATGATTTGATGTTGCAATTTTTAAGGGAGTAGTTGTGTAACAACACTGAAAACAAAGAGTCTCATGGCATCTAAACAACCAACAAGGTTTATTTTATTTGACACACCTTTTTATGGATTGCAGTCCAGTTCATCAGATGCATGCATGATCTAAAGCTGCAAACTCACACGTGGGACTTGGCTACATGCCTTGGATGGAGTGGGCTAAATTGGGTTGCTAGAAGGTCCAGTGTGCCATTTGGTACATTTTGTTGTTGTTGTTTAGTTAAGTAATGTCCAGCTCTTCGTGACCTCATGGACCAGAGCACACCAGGCCCTCCTGTCTTCCACTGCCTCCCGGAGTTTGGTCAAATTCATGTTGGTAGCTTCAATGACACTGTCCAACCATCTTGTCCTCTGTCATCCCCTTCTCCTCTTGCCTTCACAATTGGTACAATGCTCAGTTCCAAATGCCATATGGACCTCAAACAAGTCTATTTGATCTACACCAACCTGATGTCAATTTGCCAGTACAGTATTGTGAAGTGGCAATACTTCACTTCTGGCCCACTCTTGAGAGCCAAACTTTCAAGAGAAAAACAAAAATCCCCCTCATTGTCCCTTCTTGTTTCTTTCTGCTTCCCAGAGAAAATATTCAATTTGTGTTTGTTTGTTTAAGTGGTGCAGTGTATCTGTGCTGCACTAATGCACTTAAAAATGTTCCCACTTCTATGGAGCTGAGGAAGTATTTAATTTTTCAATATCCTGAAGTGGCTCTCTTCCTAAGCCACTTCACAATGTGGTAAGTTAGAATGGAAGGTTTTGCTTTTGGTTCATTCCAGCTATCACAATGCTGGAAACAAATCAAAACAGAATGATCGTATGTATTCGCGAAGGCTTTCACGGCCGGGATCTAACGGTTGTTGTGGGTTTTTCGGGCTTCTTGGCCGTGTTCTGAAGGTGGTTTTTCCTAACGTTTCACCAGTCTCTGTGGCCGGCATCTTCAGAGGACAGCAAACTGTCACACAGTTTGCTGTCCTCTGAAGATGCCGGCCACAGAGACTGGCGAAACGTTAGGAAAAACCACCTTCAGAACACGGCCAAGAAGCCCGAAAAACCCACAACAACCGTTAGAATGATCCTACTCACACTAAAAAAGTGGAAGCCACTGACAGGAGCTAGAAAGGTAGATGGAGGAACACTTTGGGGGACAGACTGGTTTGCTCCAGCAAAGATATCACCTGATTACTATCTTTAAGAGTGAACCAGCTTGTCCCTACAGTGAATCAAACAACAGGCTGAGTGTCCATATAGTCACCCTCAAAGTTCCCTTGAAACTCAGTGGAACTTACTTTTGAGTAGATATGCATACAGTG